TCCTTCACTGAACAAACGCATTCAAAAATCAACTGTAAGTGCAATGTGGGGAAACATGAATTTTTTCAAAAGAAAGTAGGCGGAGCATACACTGAGCATTTGTGCATGCGAATTGGGACTGAATCCTTGAAAAGGCACAGCTCACAATGTAAATGATTTCCATTTTCCAACTGGTTTCAAAAAATGCCGTATGGCGTACTGTCGGATCGAAAAACGTCCCAGATAGGGTGCAACGAGGGCTCGATGTCCGGCTCCGAGAGCACCCACAAATGGCCTTTTCGGAGAACTTAACTTTCAGAGACTACTCCACTCAAGATGAAGCATATAAGGGAAGATCCCACAGCTGTTATCCGGGCTAATACAATGGAGGTATTCTGTAGGATTCCAATACACAACGCTAGCCTTTTCTATTCTATATGCCCCATCTATGAAAAAGGTGAGTTGATTCAGTCTGGACCAGAGAATACATTTTTTCATTCTTCGCTTACTTTAATCACTTCTTTACGCAATTACACACGAATCCTCGTCCAGATACCCCTTTGCGACTTCTCAATCTCGTACAATCCCTGATTCCTCTGGTTTTAGCCTCATATAATGCACCTTCCATGGATTTTCGTCTTATCCGATGCACCATTCTACTCCAACACTGCAGCTTTTCAATCTCAACCGGAGACCTCGAAATCATCGTGAACTGTGCCTTTAACGTGATGCTGCCGTCTCTATTTCGCGCCAGGCAACATAGAAAAACTTACATTTTGCAAGTCAGATTTCTTCTGCAGAGATCGAAGTCCAGGCGTGTTCGGTGAGGAGACGTTAACGACAAGATAATCGGATATAGGGGCAAAGTGACTAACACCAACCTCGTAATCGACCCTTAAGATTTCTTATAAGCTGGTTTTGCGTCATTTTGTTTAGAGTCACTTGAACTGACACAGAGAGGGAAAAACAGTTTTGGACACCGCTACTTGTTTCTCACAGCATTTGTAAACATGAAACGTTTAGAGAGAAATTTAAACAAATTGAAGAAGAGGATGTTAAATTTCCGCGCAAAAAACAGTTAAGAAAGATGAAAATTAAAGGGAGAAAGTTAGAGAAGGGACAGTAAGACTAAATGAACTCACAGGAACTGAATGAAAAAACGAAAGTGTACTCATTTAAAGCGAATAATGGTCAACTGCGCAAAGAAAAAAATAGAGTCGAAAGGCAAAAGAAGTAGCGAGAAATCAAAAGGAGAGAAACAAAGAGATCACTACTGCGTAAACTCGCTCAAGCCCTTCATATGTGCCGTGTAGCATAAAAAATATGAGGGAACCCAATGTTGAAATGAATCATTAATAATCCCTAAGAACATTCACATACTTCGGATCTTCGGTGAACTTGTTCTTTCCAAGATTCACTCCTATCACAGCTGAATTGCCACTTCGTTGAGCTAATGCTGCTTTGACACGTTTAGAGACCTTGTTGGCGCCCTCGCTGTTGAAGCCACATCGGTTTATGATTCCCTAATTCAAAAAATGATAATTCTCTAGCCGAACCAGTCGAACACTAGCTGATATAAGGTTCACCAGCATAAATGAACGCTGAGTGAGAGGATCAGGATAGGCGTACATGAGAACGCGAAATCTTAGCACGAGACTCCGTCTTACGCTCCAACTTGCACGAAAGATTAAGGCGTCCAACGATGGCAGTTAATGTTAAAACTTCACACCCTATTAATGTAATGCTCGAGCTTATCAAACACACAAATTTGACCTCGATAAGAATTTTCGACGGTTCGATGAGCCCACAGCGCTTACATAGATTAGAATGCAAGAATTCAGTATGATAAAATCGTCGTCGAAGAATAAGACAAGTAGGAGAAGAACTTTTATAAGTAAACAGATTTTCAAACCTCGTCTTCAAGCAAGCGAAACATTCG